CTGATTTAAGTAAGTTATTTACTATTGATTTATGTTGAACTATACGATTGGTTTATATTTATTTAGATTGCTAAATCACAATGGTATATAATATGGTCACATATTATCTTTTATGTAAAACGTCAAAAAATAAACGCATATATATGCATATATCACATATTTATATGTGATATATATATATATATATACATGGCCGTACCTATGGGGGGTGCAACGAAAACGTCAATTTTAACTATACAGATTCGTTTATTTTTTCTTCAGACGGAACAATGCGCATACTCGTACCTGCTCAGGAAACGCTGGAAGAAGTAGCACAACAATTATCCTGGCTTAAACTTCTCGAAGGCGGTCATCATGAGCCTTTAGACTGCCAAGCCAGATACAAAATCGCAATTATAGTGCCCTACCGAGACCGACTGTCAAACCTCTGCACTTTTCTTCTGAACATGCATCCGTTTTTAACCAAACAACAATTGGACTACAGTATTTTCATTGTCGAACAATTCGGTAAATCAATGATCGAATATGTTTACATAATTTATTAAAACAAAAAAAAAAACATAACTATACTCGAACGTTGATGAAATGTAAACTATTTTATAACTACTCTTATTGTTTTTTTTTTTTTCGTTAAATTCGCTCGTTAAATATTTTAGATATACATTGCATACATGAACATAAGTTTAATTTATTAATAATTCAACAGACGATAGTCTGTTTAACCGAGCTATGTTAATGAACGTCGGATTTAACGAAGCGTTGAAGTTACGTGAATTCGAATGTTTCTTTTTCCACGACGTAGATCTTATACCAGAAAACGATAGAAACATTTACAGTTGTCCCGATCAGCCGAGACATATGTCAGTAGCCATCGACAAGTTTAACTACAGGTAGTAATGACAGCTAAATGCTAAGCCGTATTGTTTAGAATCTAAATTCAAGATCAATTAAGAACTTTTTTTTCTATATTTTTGAAACAATTAAATAAATAATTTCATATTTATAAAATGTATACCAAATTAAATTTAACTTATCAGTCGTTCCTCCAATTTCTTTAATACTCTCCTCTCATCTGTATCCAGCGGGATCAAACAGCTTCTCTACAATCTAAATTTTTCAGGTATTGTAATAGAATTCCTTTGAGTTTCAGCCCAATCTGGCATAAAAAAAAAAGAAACTGCGGATTCCTTTGCTAAATCCATCTCATCCTTCTGTAGTTCTTTTCCAACTCTAATTTCTTGCATCGATTTTTGTCTCCTGTAAAAATTTCATATTTATCAATTGTGGTTTAACCAATGGAATAATCTACCCCCCCCCCCCCACAACTAATCCCTACAATGTTACAATTTATACAATTAAATAATAAGCATTAGTTAATTCGTTCATTGATTGATGTAAAAATCGTCATCCTTTGGTAGTTGAGCTCGTAGTATATAAAAAAAAATGTTTGTGGGTTACTTTATTTAATAGCCTTTCAATGAATTATAGAAACTAAAGATAAATTTGATATTAAATGTGATCATTTTGACTTTGCTGTATTAGTCTGCCTTACGTGGATTTATTCGGCGGAGTGATAGGCCTGAACCGCAATCATTTCCAGTTAGTCAATGGATTCAGTAACCAATATTGGGGATGGGGAGCTGAAGATGATGATATGGCATATCGAGTCAAAGCTCATGGCCTCAACATTACCAGATACGCCCCAAACGTGGCACGTTACCGTATGTTATCACATGTCAACCAAGAGTCCAACCCATTGAGGTAAGTGAATTATTTAACGCATGTTGTTAGAATAAAGAACTTGCCCATCCTCATTATTATTGAAATAATTTACAACCAGTAAATTAAATAAAGGCATCAGATATGTGGTTTTGATTAAGCCGTTATACCTAATATATATATACTTCAACAATTTCAAAGAAGTGGATGGAAATTTGGGATGATATTGATATTTTGTAAAACTGAACTCGTACATTATCGTTATCTATATGCTAATTATATAAGCATCGTTTAAAAGTTAAAAGTAAAAGTTTGATCGAACAAAATGGTATAGCTATAAATACTAGTGTAAGATATGCGAAATTTAACTAACCTAAAAGTTCAAATATTAAAGGACAAAATTGTGATAATAAATTTGTATCTGTTCGTGATTAATTTGCAAAATGTTGTTATTTTTAATATCTTAGTTGTACACTACTATTGTAACAATTACAAAATATTCACAGTACCATTAAAACATTTCTTATCTCACTCATAAAATCATAATCTAAAATAATAATAGCAAGTGCATAAAACTTTTATAATGTTACAACATTAACTAATTAATATTATAATTTATAAAAAAAAATTTCTAAAATAAATCTAATAAAAAGAGAAGATAATATATAAATCAAAAATAATAATAATAATAATAATATTTCAGTCTGATATACATTGTGTTCACATTTCTCAAAACGCTCAAAAGAATTATGTGATGGAATTGTCGAAATACATACCGCATCTTGTAAATGTATTTGAATATTTCACGATTTCTCTTTTTAATAGTTTGTATAAAAAAATTGAACAATATTGAGTTTGTCGTATATCTTCATATTTTTTAACTATCTCCGACATTTGTAATCGATGGCAAAGTCGTAAAGTTCGCCGTGCTGTTCACTCTATCAATTAAAATTTTCGAATAAAATATGTTTTTGCGATTTAAAACGTTTATTTTGTTACGTAAAAATATTACTATGGGACTGATTATACTGTCATGTCAGTGTATTTTATAATAACAATTTTCATGATTTTAACATACGTTTTCACGTAGACCTCTAACACTATGAAGGTTTCTTAAACATAATTTACTGTCCATTTTTAGTCTCCATGGTTTATGGTAAATGTGATTATTTTGGGTTAAGATTTCGATGAACATACTTACATTATTATTACTGTTGAAAGTACCACGATCAACGCCCAGAACCTATATTTAATTGAATATTTTAAATCGTGTGGAAACCAACGGGTTAATTATTTTACTGTACGAAAACAAAATATAATAAAAAACCAGTGGAGTATCCAGGCCACTAGGTCTGAGAGGGCTGCATCCCTACCTCGCCGAGTTTCAGAAAATATAAAATTATATAAATAACTTAATTATGAGTTATGTAAAATCCACAGGGATCATAAGCTATTCATGTATCAAAACTTAATATAAAAAAAACTTGATTTAAATATAATTTGTTTTTTTCAACAAGAATGTATTTAACAATTATTATGAGTTTTTCGTTACGTGATATTATAATATTATGTATGCTGATCATCCCTTCTCAAAAACAAATAAATAAATAAATTCCTGGATACGGCGCCAAATTCAAAACTAATCATAATTACCGTCAACAAGTCGGAAGATATGTTATGGGAAACAACCAATGTCCTCAATACTAACACTAAACATAACATCACGAAAACACGTAGATAATTAGATAATGCACGAGTAGCAATACCTACCGACATATTCGGAAATTGTAAAACTCGATACGTCCTCGTACTCTCTGTACGTGTTGGTCTTTGTTATAAATTATTTGAAATTATTTGAACTCTGGAACAGAGATTTAAAAATCAAAATTTCAAAATAGAATGGAATATAAACCAGTGCTTCTAAAAATGGTAATTATGTGAACGATATATTCATAGCGTCACCAACGACGAGTAAATCTATAAATACTGGGCTCAAATAAATTTATAAATAGTAATTAGGTATGAAATATTTCCGATGATCAAACAATTTTCTATTATTATTATTTTAATATTTTGTGATGGTAATTGATTAGAACTGGGGTGTGGAATGACAAAAATATACTGAACTCTGAACATTGACAGTTGATATTACATCTTACAAAATAAATGTTTATGGAATTAATTTAAAAATATAATTTTCTACAACTTACGGAGACCTGGGGGTCCTAGAAATTGGGGTCCAAGTGCACTTGCGTAAATCAGGGCCTGCCCATGACCCTGTAGAGTGTACAATTGTGTATTTCGCACAGTAACAATATGTATTACATTAATCATAACTTATAATCATTTTCTCCCTTGTGTTCGACAAAGGTTTGAAATCTTGAGAAACAGCCGGGTACGTTTTAGTACCGACGGACTCAACAGCCTCAAGTACCGAGTGGAATCACTGAAGCAGCTTCCGTTGTTCACGTACATTCTGGTGGACCTCTCTGGAGAAAGCAGCTGATGGTCAATGGCCACCATGCATCACAAGACACTTGAATTTTAGATTTTGAAAACTACGCAACGTAATCCTGCCATCGTATATGTGTTCTTTCATTCTCGTTTGATCGTATTATCATTATCGATTAAGATTAAATTGGTTCGATGTGTGCTTGCACACATCTATGTATATTAATAGTATAAAATTATCGACGTTATCGTTCCCTGATAGAGGGAACCTCCCACAAAATATTTTTTTTTGTACATACCAGTTGGTATGTGATTAGTAAATTAAATTTTATTCCTGAACTTTACCATTATCGGAGAGAATAATATAATATTTTATTATTATATATATATAATTTTTGGTTCAAGTAGTAAGGCATAAATTTTCAAAAATTAAAAATCTCTTATTTCATTTATTTCATATTAATTTTTAATAAACCAACATAGAAGAGGAAATACTTTTGAACGTATTTTAAACTTATTTATAAAATACATGATAATCTCAAAGTTGTATACGTAATATTATTATTGAAGCACGCTGAATAAATTACATAGAAAATATATAATTATCCAAATAAGAAAGATTTAAAATAACGAATACGAGTATTTGCGTTTGATCTTAGAAACGTACACATTGCCTATTTTAATTTAAAAAAATACACTTCTCAAAATTTAGACAAATATGTGTACGTTTAATTCAATATGCTTGAATATGTTCATGTTAATTTTCTGAAATATACTGGCATAGAAATCAAGTCAACAATTATTTGAACATATCATATGGGTACAATATTTGGTGTCATTTACATTAAACCTACGATTCATGTATTTAAATTTGAATACTTAATTTCGTACATCGATAGATCTAAAAAAA